GCGTCAGATGCCGCGTCAGATGCCGCGTCAGATGCCGCGTGAGATGCGGCGTGAGATGCGGCGTGAGATGCCGTGTCAGATGCCGCGTCAGATGCCGCGTCAGATGCCGCGTCAGATGCCGCGTCAGATGCAAGGGGTCTATTCAGAGTTGCTCAGTCAACAAGAAAGGAATTCCGTTTTCATTTTGGACGACTGCAATTAGTTGATCTTTTGCATGATGCCACTCTCCTTATTGTTTCAACGTCAAGACTGACATATGAGCTATTCTCAAGAATAATTAGGTTTGTGCCACGTTTTTATAACACCTGTCTGAAATGGGATTAAAGATTTGGAAGATCATCAAACAATTTGTTTTATGGCTTTCCAACATTAAACTTGTTTGTCCAAGGGCATGGCTAAATGCAAACGGTATTTCAACCAGGAACACATCTGGTCCCTGATTTCAAGCACAAAATTCTGTCACGGCCGCCACCTGTGAGTCTGTGTTACGCTGATGATGCCTGTCACATTTCTATTTTTGTTCACACATTTGGGGAAATAGGCAACGGATGCCTGATATTGGTGTACCTTCTGCTTAATATAGCCCGGCAAATTGTATGTCAATTTCACCCAAAATGTGAGAAAAGCATACTTTTTAAACTATAATTTAACTGTGAGTTGTTTTTTTTTTCGTTTTTTTTTTGGTAGGTTTGTTGTGACTTTTATCAGAACTGTTTTACAGAAAGACAATGTACATCAGCATGATGTAAAATTCTGTGTATTAGGAGTTGAAGACATGGTTTGAATTATAACCAAGTTAGCCTGAAGTTCATTTATCACTGGCTGTTGCGGTTAATAACACAATATTCTGGGCATTTTTAAGATAAACTCTCCTATTAATAATAATAATAATGTTGTTCACAGATTGGTTCATATCTATAACCATCAAAGCTGGGAACTCATTCAGAGAACCTTGGTCTTTACAAGAACTAAAGTTAGACAAACTCCATAAAGAAACAGAAAATCACATGACTTCCTGATTCTGCCTTTCTTTTTTGTGGTAGACAGTTTACATTCTTCACCTATCAGGGTCGTTTTGCAAATCCACTCGACAAAAGAAGCGACAATAGCCCTCCCCCTAACCAAACACACACAAAAGATCTGAAAAGTTGTGTAAACTGTGCTTACTTTGTTCCACCCGCCTAGAAAAGGCAGGGGGCTCACCACAATTCAGCTGATTTCAGAAAGAACCCTATAGTGATTTAATTTCTAAATTTAGAAAGCAGACATTTCTACTGCATTTTAGCCTTAAACTTTGTCACTGCAATTTAACATAATATACAACATTTGCTTTTGCTGTACTTTTCAGAAATGGATGGATTCACGGATGTGTAACCGATTGCAAACAAAATTTGGTAAATTGGAGGCAGTATTTGAAAAAAGTCGGTGTTTTTTCCAACGATGGTCGGCCGACCATGGTTGGGAAATTGATACAAAAATTCCGCTTTTCTCGAAAATGAAAGCACACTATAGGTGCCATGATTTCACGGGATGCTTGCGACCATTATTCACTTACAGTCAGTGAAGTAAGGTATTTCATAATAATTTGGTAGTTTTGTTTTTTTATGTTTGCAAATGTTGTTTATTACCTTTAAATGAACAGTCTTACTCATCCCCTTTGAGATTGGCTACTCTATTTTTTCTCCAAGCGAAAATTCTCAGTGCAGTTGCCTTTCCTGACCATAAACAATCTAAATAGCCTTGAAATTTATTTTGTTTTCTAGAAGCATGAGTAAAAAACAAACTGCAGTTTTATGATTTCTTTATTTGGTGCTTCCAACAGTGTACCCACAACAGTTAGTATTGATTTATATTCATTCCCTTCTGGACAAAAGGAAAGCAAAGAAAGGCCAACAAAGGCAGAAATGAACAACAACTTAATCTTCTGAAACCATTTCCAGTAGCTGTTTTCGTGGCTCATCGTGAACGTGCTGGGCTGAAAGTCTGTTCTTTGGTTTCCGAAAAGCCAGAAGAAAAAGAATTGTCCTTTTAACTGTTTTCTTAATTTTGTCGCTTCTAGTTTTTGATTAAGTTACTTTATCCCAAGCTATTACACTTGATTAACTCTGATATCCCTTTCAGATTTCGACAAAAGACGAATTTCTCTTCTTTTGTCAAGGCAGGGAGAGGCAAAAAAAGCAAAAAATAACAACTTGATCCACAAACAACATGTTCAATTGTAGTGGTTAAAGTTGTTCAGACAAGCGGCCTTCACGTGAACAAAAAAAACATGTAAAGACCAACATACTCTTCACTCATTAAAAGAAAATAACTTTTTTTTCTGAATTAACAGCAAGTGGTGGGTGGTAAGTCAACTTGCTTTGAACCCGTGCCGAGAAGTGAAAACTCCTTGTGCTCGTAATAACTTCACATGAGTTGTATAGATGGGAACAAACGTTTAAAACCATTCATGTTTTCACAACACATTTTCTTCCGGTCCCGGATCCTGGATAGTCGTTCAGGACAACAATGACTAGAGAATAAACGCCGCTGTGACTGCCACGCGCATGGAGAAGAACTGGAAGGAAACCGGTCCGTAATTTCTGGCCAATTTCTTCATGATGGTCTGAGCAAATTATCCAGTTATCCCTCATGAACAAAAACAGCTGCTGGTTAACCGTACTTATACTTGTCATTAATTTTGCAAAGTATTGAAATTCGTGCATGGTTTGGACACTCCTGTTTCATTTTTTTTTTTACATGCAGGTCATTTCCAAACTTAAGTTTTAAACCATTTACGACCTCATCAGCATACCCTTTAAAATCCCCTCACACAATTCATTTAAACACTAGGGGGAAAGGTGTTTAACCATTAACAATGGTTTCCAAAGGCTGTCATGATAAAGGCACTCTATTCCGCCAAACTCCACAAAACATAATTACCTTGCGAAAGGAACCCATCCCAACACTATAGAGCATCGTTTTGATAATGGGCGAAGGGAACCAACAGAAACAGCAATTATGGAAACAAAACTCACAAAAGGACAAAAAGGTACCATCCATCAAAGCTTTGTGGGTTTGTTAGTTTAGATTGTCGTTCCTCCCCTATAAAATCCTTGACCACCCGTTCTATCCTAAGTTGCCCTAAGTGGTTATAATCCTGGGATTTGGGACAAGAGGTTTTGTAAGTATTTATCTACACAAAAACCACTTCAAAGTGGCCACACATGAAGCGTGCTGACATACCGCGTGATGTACTTACCTTCGTCTTAAACGCACATGCGCGGTCATGAAGTTTTCCATAAAAAAAATTAGTTGATTTTTTTCACACTTATTCGTAGAAACGCAGATTTTCAAAGTATTTGGTCATGAAGGAAAATGGAAAACAAAAAAAATGTGTTAATTAATCGATGACATGCAAGTTACAAAATTTAATTGCGATCATTGGCTGCCCATCCCAGCCCATATATCCAATTACATCAGAATAAAAATAAAACGTTGGCTCGAATGCGGAAATTGCTGATTGGTAATTTTAGCACGGGCCAATCCGAGGACTTGACTAGGAAAATGAGATTCACACCACCAATTTCTTTGATAATTTACTGACTATTTTTGCCCAGCTGTAATATCCAGCTTAAGGATAGGCGGAGAAAACGGGTGAAATGTTCTTAATTGGGGGAGATTTTGGTAGTTTAACTCACACTCACAGCCCGGGTACAGTTGGCAAGGATAAAGGCCACTGGCAAGGTAAAGATTGGTTGTGACGAAAAATAATTAACAAAAGACGAACCATACTCGCCCTACTCTTAAAAAAAAATGGAAGGGATTGCTCACAATCGCATTTTTATAGAATTGCAGTTCTCAATAGCATATGCATTTTACTCCTCTTATTAAATTTTACTATAGAACTGACTGCTAGAATGTTACTTATTGAAACAGAAAGCATTTTTAAGAGGTAAAACTCAGATTTTTCTAAATATATTTCTGTCTAAGTGGTGTAACTACGGAAGGGGACACCCCCGTGCCTTCCACCAATGTCAACCCCCCCCCCTAAAGAGCATTATGTTTCATTGAAATTTGAAGCGAAGCCATTGAGTGCATCTCCTGAGAATGAGGACCGCAAGTGCCCCGACCCCTCCCCTAATCATCCGTCCCCCCCCCCCCCCTCTCTGCAAATTGGACGCCAGTTATGGACACGAATATGGAACGTTTGGCCGTTAATATTGCAGCTAGTGGATTCAGTCGATCTAGAAAATTTATATATATTATACAAAAACGTCTTTCATTGCAGGTAAATGTTCGAATATTTCGTGCACTGACATCACAAAGGGACATTTAGGAAAGAAATCCCAAAGAATTTTACTTTTTGGGTGTGTCTATAGTTTTTCAAAAGAAGTCACAATTGGAGGTTTACCTTTTGAATTCCGGCGTGCCGCCTGCCAGTGTGGGTTTCATGCATGAGTTATTACGTCCAAAAGTAATGTTGGAAGTTAAATTCGAGCGTAATTATATACATCATGTGGCATTTTATCCTTGTCCAAATTGTAAAACGAGAAATTTGACAAGCCATAGCCTCCATGTACATGTACGACTGTATACGTTCTTACATTAAAGGTCGAATCACCACGGTTACAAAAAAGTAACCCTGGCAACATACGTCACCCTGGTCTTGAAAACACTCACAGAAAAACGTGTTTTTATTCCTCCATGAATAACTTGTTGGGTTGTTTGGGTTTTTTTTTTCATCCATTCCCGTGTCAGCCAATCAGCGCCTGCAGAACCCCGTGAGCCATTCCTCATCACAAAATCAATTCATTCAGTTTTCCTTAAACACCCAATCAGACACAATCCGTTTGAACTTTTCGTCCGTCTTGGCCTCTTCTAATCTCAGAAGTAGGGCCCCGACTAAAATCCAATAGGCAATTCACATATCAGGGCAGCCTGAATCCTGTACGACCCAGAGATCCAAAAGTAAACCCACTTTGACAGAGTGTCTGCGAAATGGGGCCATTCTATTGGCTGATCTAAAAGTAGAGCTCAGCGCTCGAACCGTTCATTCACTGCTTGCGAATAAAAACTGGTCACGCACAATTTCTCTTCGCGTCCCATTTAGCCTATACTGCAACAACTGCACTTAGCAATGCAAGGCAGGCCAGCTTTTGGGCTTTATAAGCTCAGTGTCTCTGTGAACTCCAGTAAAGTTGACAGAAGCAATTTTTGTAAACATTGCCAATTGAATGAGACAGCCTCCGTTGGTGTTACGCTGTGTTATAGAAATACCACACAAGGCTAACTGCACACGTACGTCTGCCTGCAGATGAGTTTTCAGCACCCGAGGAATACAAATCTGCGAACCAGAGATTGAAAGGTGTCATAAGGAATCATAAAACAGTCGGAAGAGTTACATCATCGGACGTGTGAGTGGCCGAACCGGAGATTCAAAACATTAATACCAGATTTTGCGATCACGAAAAGTGCTAAACCTCTCTGCCGTGAACCCAGGCATTGCTGCCAAGAAATTCTTCCTATTTTTGGCCAACCAGTGACTTCCACAGTTTCTTGGAGAGTGTTCCAACATCGTCCCTGATTCATTTCCTCATCCTGGGAGCTCAACATAACATCCCAACCTATGCTCTGTGATCAAGCCTGTCAAAGATTTCTAGCAGTGTGCATTTAGCGGCTCAATTTTATTGACCTCAAGTTGTTTCACGTGAATTATCGCTCGGATTTTTTTTAGGAACCATGTGGAAGTTTTTGCAAGTGCCGTTCTTTGGATACACTGCGTTTGTGCTGGGTGTTCTAGGATCGCTTGTGATTGGTAACGTGGACGCCTATCTGCATCGGTATGGGTAAGTCGTAGTCGTACTTGCATTTCCCGCATTATAACAAACCCAAAAAACAAACTTAATAAAGCTGGTCCCAGCGTGCACAGGATTCTATTCCATGGATTCTGAATGGCTATTCACTGGAAGTCTTTTTCGTGCATGTGTTCTACACTATGGGCCAGATTTAGCTCATTTATTGGCGTTAGGCCTACGGGGTAATCCTATACGATGGAACTGCCCGATTCTGTTCGTCAATACAACCAGTGTAAATCACAAGTGACAGTCAACGAGTCAGTTAGTCATGTTTGGTACCAATGGGCACTAGGCTGGCTCCCTTCGGGGTCCAGCTAAAATGCAGGACTGTTTCACCATGTTCACAATGGAGGAAGGAACCCTAACCCTAACCGTAACCTTATAGTTCGTCATACTACAATCATTCAAAGTTTCAAATCTAACCATTACCTTATTCCTTCCTCCATGGTTTCACCATCTTCACGACCATGGAGCCATGTTCACGACCAACCTTGCAACCTACAACTTAGTGCATTTGATTGATAATTATCGGGTAGTTCGTACGCTTATCTTTGAGGGTATAAACTGCGTCCGCTCTACCGTCAAGTAGTGTTTACCACGAGGGGTCGTTAAGAACTTAGCGACGCCTATTAAAAAATAACTTCAAGTGTCGGTTTAGGCTGTTTTATCTAGCCTCATTCTCATGCTTCTCGTGGATTTTGAGGAAAATTCTTAGAGTCGTAGACCAAGCCCTTTTCATTCTCTTGAATTGGATACATTAAATATTGCTTTTTATTTAGAGATGGGTTGCGGGACGAAACCGTTATATATGTGGAAGCAGCAACGAAGAAAGTAAAGAGAATATGCTTTTTATCGGCCCGTAGATGTTTAAACATTGGTAAAGTCTGAGAAACTCACTGCAAACATGTCAATACAATATTTGGTTTTGCCATGCGTGCACCGACGTATTGTATGAACGCTGTATACTCAGTGTTGCCCCCGAGTGATTGTGAGACAAAAAATCACGCAGGTGGGACTCGAACCCACGACCTGCTTATTAGTAGTACAGACGTCTTACCACTCGACCCCGAGCTTGCCTTGGTCGGTTGGCTGGTGTGAATCTGATATAGCAGCGGGTACCACAATGAAAATATTCATAAGATGGAATTTGCGTCGGGGTGATGTAAATTCAATACACGTATAATACATGTGTTTGGTTTTGCCCTTCAAGTTTCACCAACGTATTTTAAATACACTGAAGCCCTATATACTCGGTGTCTTCCAGACATGCAAATTTCAAAAGGCAAATACGATAAAAGTGTTACTATGAAAAGATGAAGTAAAAACGATTTAGTCCTTGTCCCAGATTTGTTTTGTTCTCATTCACAATCATTTTGAAGGCTAATGGAACCGGCAGACCGTTGAGAAAATATTAGGTTGGCCTCGTTGCGACCCATTCATCTTGAAATGTATCATCGCAAAGTGGTTCACACCATGGAGCTCCTTTTTATAGCTCCATGTTCACACTAGCTGGCACCGAGCGCAAGGCTTTGCTTCACAGATGATTGCCTGTGGAAACATGACTTCTTGACTCTGCTTTTCTGGCGGCAATTTCCGACTGATGATGTGTTCCGTATCTCGCTCAGTAAGTTGTTTGTTGTTCACACAGTTCACACAGGCTAGGGGGAGGGGGGATGGGAGAGATTGTGACCAACCGGCTGTTCAATGTAAATTGTCATTTTCCGGCGCGGTGCGTGAAACGCTGTTGAAGTGAAGATTTCTTTGAGTTGATGGTGCACGATACTTTGTTAAAGTAAACCATGGAGAAATCAACTAACTGATTATACAGGGTGGATCCAAAAAAACGAAACCGAGATATTATTGCTAATTGAAACAGAAGTAGGGCACATGCGAATCAAAAGGAGATATCCTCTGTTAGGGTTGAATCTCCTCTTTAAACGGGCATGCAACTTTTCCTCGGATCAGCTGATTTCCTCTTTTTTCACTTCCAATGCGTGCCATTGAAAATAGAAAAACAATGTACAAAGTCTTGGAAAAATTTGAATTTCCTCTTTTTTTGTGACTTCCCAGTTGCATGCCTGTTTAAAATGACACCCTGGTCATTTCATTACATTCACAGTTGACTGAGCAGTGACCAATTTTATGAAAGGGTCTATTTAGAGAATTGCGCCACTTTTCAGTTGTGGTTTTTGTTGTGTCATTTGTAACAGAGTGAAAGGCTGTGGTTGCCAATAGGGAAAAAAGAGATTTCACCATGAAAAGTGTAAACTTGGTTAAGACAGTAAAAGTCTTAACCCTAAGCTAGAGCTTGAACAAACATAATTTAATAATAATGATACTTGGAGTAATCTTCACAAGTTGCCATATTGGTCATGTCCTACTAGCATGGTGTGAAATCACGAGGTAATGTGTGTTTTCTAATGCCTCAGATGCCTTTTTTTGGTACTTGAGCCTCGATCTGAATGATAGACTTGTGCAGGAGAACCAAGATGGCCACCCCTGGTATAGATAGTCTGTTATCCAGTCGTCCCAATTAAAATACCTGAGCTTAACCACGCGTGTCTGCATTAACTCCCTATGCTTATACCGTTTCGCCCAAGGTAACTCCCGCCAATCCCAATTTATTTTATTAAATTTAAATAAAAATAATAACCACTAATTCGACGACCTGGTATAACGGTAATGCACATTTCCTCTCGTTGTTAAGTGGTACTCAGACATCGAGAACCATTCATAAAAAAATGGTCAGTCAAAATTAAATCGCATTGTCCCCCATGGATTGACGTACATAAAGGGGTCAACCTTAATCCAATGTAGTCTAGAGCAACTTGAAATATTACCGTTGATCCCATGGGGGTTGGGGAGGAGCGCATCACGTCATTGAGTCATGACAGTTGGAAGACAGTTTGGTTTGACAATTATTCGCAAAGTTCACTGACCTGGGTTTGTAAGTCCCCCCTCAGCCCCACGGGCGCAATTTGTGTCAGATATTTACTTAGTTGGCTCATGGTTGGCTCATAGGTTTCTTTATGGTCCGTCAAGGGCCATCGTAGCTATGCGTTGGTCCTAAAGATGTGTAAGGGAGGGCCTCGCTTTAAGCCAATTCTTGGTCTGATAATCTACGCTCCTTTATAGCTCCATGGTGTTGTGAAGCTGCCAAACAGACATTTGCTATATACGATCCAGTTTTAAAGGGTGCGTGACATGAATATTTCTTAGGAACACATTTTGTGCAACTTCCTGCTCCTCTTAATATATCGAAACTATTTGACATCCCTTTTGGTTTATTTTCTTGAAAAGTGCAATTCTTTAAACAATTTTTTTTTTTAAAGTACTTACTTTTCCGGACAGCTGAGGGCGCTCTTGCTGTGATGTCATTTCAGGAAGACACTGTTCAGTTAAGGGGTTTTCTGTTCAAATTGCGAACCCAAAAATGTGTTCATTGAAAAAAAAGTCTGCTCATTGGCTTACTGCCATGTAGGCCTACTGACACAACAACGAGTCCCCAAAGAAAAGAAAATTTACAACCGCAAAATATCCACAATTCTGGCAACTTTTGGTGCTGAAATAGCTGTAACATTGAGGTTTCCACCTGAAATGACATCACACTTTTGTTCATGAATATGGATATTGCATTAGCATAAAAACCAAAAAAGGCACCAAAATATCCTTGAAAGTGGCAAAACGAACATTTAAAATAAGGTTCAAGCATGTGCATTTTCAAGGATCGCATTAACAAAAAAATTCATTGCATGCCCCTTTAAGCAGTAAATCTCCGCTTTTGTCTGGTACCGTGGCCCTCTTTTGCTAAGCATTGTTGTGTGTGTGCTTTTTTCTCTTTCGGAAAGTTGCTCTCCGCTGGCAAAAAGCATCACCCGTAATGGTAAAATTCAAGGTGACTTTCATTGATCTATTCGATATGACTGTCAGGAAGAAATTCTGAGAAAAATTCCAGCTCCCCAGTAGTTCAAATTCAAATCCAAACAAATTATTTTTTTCGGTGTCAGATTTTAGTGTCAGTATAGGGGAGTTAACACCATGTCGAGTTCAACTGGCTGTGTTTGTTTTTCTCGTGTGAGACCATTCCCTGCAGCGTGTATACTGGTCTATACCAAAAAAATGATTTTGGCAGAATAAATATTTTGTTGGTTCTGAGTTTTTAATGTGGATTTTGGAGAACGAGAGTCAACAAACATGGCAAAGGTGAACAGACGGGGAACCAGACACGCGGACACGTGCTTTGTGAATGGTTTAAACGGCCTGGCTCCTTCACATTCATGCTGTCATGTTCCGGAGGCAAAAACCATTAGGAATGTTGGGTCAGGAGGGCTAACAATAAACTTTTTCCGGATCCTTTTGAAAAAAAAAGGTCGTATCCGTGATTGCATACACAAACAACCACTTGTTGAAAAAAAGTGGTGTGTTTCATACGTGTCTGGAAAATCAAACAGGAAACCATAATACTTTGAATACTTTCGTTGCTCTATATTTCGAAAGGGTGATCACTATACCATAGCTTTTGAGCGACGAAATTCCAAGTGGTTTAGGGTTTATAGTGGGGCAGATAGGGGAAACGTTTGGGTGAATTGTGCCTTTGATGATACAAGCATGTAATTGGCACACAGTCAGAGTATGTCATGAGAAATGTATTGGCTAACTAAAGGGCCATCGCAGATTTGTCCTTTGAACAAATAAAGGTAGAATAACAAGTTATTTTCAAAGTGTTCAAAATGGCTGCCATTGCTTGTTATTCTACCTATATTTTGTTCAAAGGACAAATCTGCGATGGCCCTGTAGCCAAATATCTTTCTAATGACATACTCTGACTTTATCATCAAAAGCACAATCCCATCACATATCTAATATTACCCTGGATCGACTGGAACCAACTTTATAACCGCCGAATAAAACAAGAACACTGTTCTGGATCCCACGCTACACTGTTGAATTGAACTATGAATACCCCAATATTGAAAAATCATGGGAAAGGC